TCACCACTTCACCCTCACCACTCACCCTCACCACTCACCCTCACCACTCACCCTCACCACTAACCACTCCTCTCACCACCCTCACCACTCACCCCACCCTTCAGCACTCACCCTCACCACTCTCTCACCACTCACCCTCACCACTCACCACCCACCCTCACAACAACCGCTCACCACTCACCCTCACCACCCACCCTCACCAATCACGCTCACCACTCACCACTCACCCTCACCACTAACCCCTCACCACTCCAATCGTCGCAGATGCAATTATTCCTTTAAATAGAGTGGGCTAGGGTGGTGGAGGGAGGTAGGGGAGGACCACCCACTACCTTCAGATACTTTCCCCGCAACTTCACGGCAGCGGGGCTCGCAAATGCTCATCAACAGGTCGCGGCGGTCGGCAGGCAACGCAGCAGCAGCTGTAAGTAGCAGCAGCAACAGCAAGCAGCAGTAACGCTGTAGCTACAAGCAGCAGCTGCCTAACAGCGTCTCGGCGCTCTGACTTGTGTAGCCGCAGTCCCCCTCTCGCTCCCTCGAGTCAACATGACGTCATCCGTCCCTACGCGCACGCGCTCATTGGCTACGGATGCCGCGTGTGGCGGTGACGTCATCACCGCAGTGGAGGAGTTCGCCGTTGGGCTTACGATGGGGGGCCCCAAAAAAAATGGAGGGGTGGCGGTGAGGGTTTGTTGTGTCCGTGACGTCAAACCCCCACGGCGGACCAATCGGGAGCGGAAAATTCTCGAGGGGCGTGGCCTCCACGGAGGAGGACCAATGAGACGCGCGTATCGATTTTCTCTGCACGTGACTTCGGGTCAGAGGTCACGTGGTGTTAATGGCGACGTCGAACTCTCCACACGTGACCTCCTCCACCTCGCCACGTGCAGCCACGGTGAGTGGTGGTGCAGTGGTTAGCGCACTGTGTGTGTGTGTGTGTGGGGAGTGGTGGTGCAGTGGTTAGCGCACTGTGTGTGTGGGGAGTGGTGGTGCAGTGGTTAGCGCACTGTGTGTGTGTGGGAGTGGTGGTGCAGTGGTTAGCGCACTGTGTGTGAGTGGTGGTGCAGTGGTTAGCGCACGGTGTGTGTGGGGGGAGTGGTGGTGCAGTGGTTAGCGCACTGTGTGTGTGGGGAGTGGTGGTGCACTGGTTAGCGCACTGTGTGTGAGTGAGTGGTGGTGCAGTGGTTAGCGCACTGTGTGTGTGTGGGGGAGTGGTGGTGCAGTGGTTAGCGCACTGTGTGAGTGGTGGTGCAGTGGTTAGCGCACTGTGTGTGAGTGTTGTTTTCCCCATCTGCCCCAGTTGCGCCGTATCTACTGAATGTGCGTTTGGAGTCTCAAGACCTCCTGGCGACGCTTTGCTGGGACCCCCGTTGAAGTGGCTCCTGTGGGGGGTGGAGGAGAGAGACCCCCACCTGTTGACCCTTCAAGCATCAACTCCACCACCACCACCAACTCAACGTTCCTGAATGTCACCTACAGAGTTCAGAGCAAACTGTGAGATGCTCACTCACTCACTCAGCCACTCACCCATTAAGTCACTCACTCACCAACCCACATCGCTCACCAACCAACCCACTCACTCACCAACCCACCTCACCAACCAACCCACTCACTCACCCCGCCAACCCACTCACTCAGCCACTCACTCACTCAGCCACTCACTCAGGCACTCACCCATTAATTCACTCACTCGTCAACCCACTCACGAACCCACTCACCCACCAACCCACTCACCCACTCACCCACTCACTCACCCACTCACTCACCGACCCACTTACTCACCAACCCACTCACCCACCCACTAACCCACTCACCACACTCACCAACCCACTCACTCACCAACCCACTCACTCACTCAGCCACTCACTCACCCACCAACCCACTCACCTACCAACCCACTCACTCACTCAGTCACTCACTCACTCAGCCACTCACTCAGCCACTCACTCATTAATTCACTCACTCACCAACCCACTCACTCACCCACCAACCCACTCACCCACCAACCCACTCACTCACTCACCAACCCACCCACCCACCAACCCACTCACCCACTCTCTCCTCACCACCCTCACCACTGCTCCCTGTGTCTCTGTCTGCGCAGCTTCAGACGCGCCCTCTGGCAGACCGTCTGTGCTGCCACCAAAGACACGTGCTGCGACGTCTCTTCAGCGCTGGACGATGCCGGTGGCCGCTATCTCCTCCGCGTGAGATTCTCCGTCTCGTCCTCACCACCGCTGTCCTCAGCCTGGGTCGCGCTTGAGGTCGTGCCCTTGAGGGAGAGTGAGTGTCACGAGATTGTGCATATGCCTACGTCTCTGTGTGTGTTTCTCTGTGTGTGTGTGTGTCTCTGTGTGTGTTCTCTGTGTATGTGTGTGTGTTTCTCTGTATATGTGTGTGTGTGTCTCTGTGTCTCTGTGTGTGTGTCTCTCTCTGTGTGTCTCTGTGTGTATCTGTGTGTGTCTCTGTGTGTGTGTGTTTCTGTGTGTGTGTGTCTCTGTGTGTGTCTCTGTGTCTCTGTGTGTGTGTGTCTCTGTGTGTGTCTGTGTGTGTCTCTGTGTATGTGTGTCTCTCTGTGTGTGTGTCTCTGTGTGTATCTGTGTGTGTCTCTGTGTGTGCCTCTCTCTGTGTGTGTGTCTTTGTGTTTGTGTCTGTGTGTGTGTGTCTCTCCGGTTGGAAACATTTAGGCTGGCCTGCCTACGATCCATCCTGGGTTTAACCAGGTTGGATTGTGTGAGGAGCTCACAAATCCTTGAAATATCTGGGCAAAGTCCCATCGGTGAGCTCCTCCGGAGACCATGTCTCTGTGTGTGTGTGTCTCTGTGTGTGTCTCTCTGTGTGTGTCTGTATGTGTGTGTGTCTCTCTGTGTCTGTCTCTCTCTCTGTGTCTCTGTGTGTGTGTGTTTCTCTGTGTGTGTGGGTGTCTGTGGGTTTCTGTATATGTCTGTGACTCTTTTTGCCTGTGAGTGTGTTTCGGCTCACAGGGGGAGATCATACAAACTCCACTCACTCACTCTGTAGAACAGGGGTAGATCATACAAACTACACTCACTCACTCTGTAGAACAGGGGTAGATCACACAAACTCCACTCACTCTGTAGGACAGGGGGAGATCATACAAACTCCACTCACTCACTCACTCTGCAGAACAGGGGGAGATCATACCAACTCCACTCACTCACTCTGTAGAACAGGGGGAGATCATACAAACTCCACTCACTCACTCTGTAGAACAGGGGGAGATCATACAAACTCCACTCACATCCTCACTCTGCAGAACAGGGGGAGATCATACAAACTCCACTCACTCACTCTGCAGAACAGGGGGAGATCACACAAACTCCACTCACTCACTCTGCAGAACAGGGTGAGATCATACAAACTACACTCACTCACATCTGCAGAACAGGGGAGATCATACAAACTTCCACTCACGCACTCTGCAGAACAAGGGGAGATCATACAAACTCCACTCACTCACTCTGCAGAACAGGGGGAGATCATCAAAACTCCACTCACTCACTCTGTAGAACAGGGGGTAGATCATACAACTACACTCCTCAATCTGCAGAACAGGGGAGATCATACAAACTACACTCACTCACTCTGTAGGACAGGGGGAGATCACACAAACTCCACTCACTCACTCTGTAGGACAGGGGGAGATCACACAAACTCCACCACATCTCTGCAGAACAGGGGGAGATCATACAAACTCCACTCACTCACTCTCTCTGTAGGACAGGGGGAGATCATACAAACTCCACTCACTCACTCTGTAGGACAGGGGGAGATCATACAATCTCCACTCACTCTGTAGGACAGGGGAGATCATACAATCTCCACTCACCCACTCCCCCACTCTCCCCCCACCACTCACCCCACTCTCCCCCCACTCTCCCCCACCACTCCCCCCACTCTCCCCCCACCACTTCCCCCCACTCCCCCCCCCACTCTCCCCCACCACTCCCCCCACTCTCCCCCCCACTTCCCCCCACTCTCCCCCCCCCCACTCTCCCCCCACCACTCCCCCCACTCTCCCCCCACCACTTCCCCCCACTCACCCCCCCCCCCCACTCTCCCCCCACCAATCTCCCCCCACCAATCTCCCCCCACCACTCCCCCCCACCTCTCCCCCCCCCCCCACTCTCCCCCACCACTCCCCCACTCTCCCCCCCACCACTTCCCCCCACTCTCCCCCCCCCCCTCTCCCCCCACCACTCCCCCCACTCCTCCCCCCACCACTTCCCCCCACTCTCCCCCCCCCCCACTCTCGCCCCCCCACCTCTCCCCCCACCACTTCCCCCCACTCTCCCCCCCCCCACTCTCCCCCCACCACTCCCCCCACTCTCCCCCCACCACCACTTCCCCCCACTCTCCCCCCCCCCCACTCTCCCCCCCCACCCCCCCACTCCCCCCACTCTCCCCCCACCACTCCCCCCACTCTCCCCCCCCCCACTCTCCCCCCACCACTCCCCCCACTCTCCCCCCACCACTTCCCCCCACTCTCCCCCCCCCCACTCTCCCCCCACCACTCCCCCCACTCTCCCCCCCCACCCTCCCCCCACTCTCCCCCCCCCACTCCCCCCCACCACTCCCCCCACTCTCCCCCCCCCCCCCCCACTTCCCCCCACTCTCCCCCCCCCCCCCACTCTCCCCCCACCACTCCCCCCACTCTCCCCCCACCACTTCCCCACTCCCCCCCCCCCCCCCCCCCCCCCCACTCTCCCCCCCACCCTCCCCCCACTCTCCCCCCCCCCCCCCACCACTCCCCCCACTCCCCCCCCCCCACTCTCCCCCCACCACTCCCCCCACTCTCCCCCCACCACTTCCCCCCACTCTCCCCCCCCCACTCTCCCCCCACCACTCCCCCCACTCTCCCCCCCCCGAGAGAGCGACGCGCGCGCTTCGCAGTTGCCACCGTCACCGCGACAACAACAACCCACGGGGGCGGCAGCAGCAGCAGCAGCAGCAGCATGGGCCTCCTGCGGCACAGAGTCATGGCCTCCCGCCACCCGCGTCCCCAGCGGCTGTGGCTGCTGGCGCCGCTGGCGCTGTGCGTACTACTCCACCACCAAAGCGCGGCCTTGACTCTGTGCGGGAGCCAGCTGGTCGACGCCTTGGCGTTTGTATGCAACGGGCGAGGCTTCTACGCGGCGCCACCAGCTGGCGTGCAGCGGCAGCGGCAGCAGCTAGGCGGCATTACAGAAGCGTGCTGCCTGCGCGCCTGCTCGCTGCTCGTGCTGGAGCGCTACTGCGCACAGCCGCAGCTGCTGCACAAGAAGCAGCAGCTGCACAAGAAGCAGCAGCAGCAGAAGCAGCTGCAGCAGCTGCACAAGCAGCTGCAGCAGCTCCACAAGAAGCAGCAGCAGCAGCAGCAGCTGCACAAGAAGCAGCAACAGCCCACGCGACTGGGCAGCACGCCGTGAAACACAACAACAAGAACAAGACGTTGAAGTAAATGAAAATGTTTATTCCTTCTGTGAAACACTAACAAGTTACATTAATAAATGAGCGGAAGCCCTAAAAAAAGAGAGGGGGGCGAGGAAAAAAAGAGAAACAATAGCGACACGTGGAGTTGTGTAGAGTGAGGAGGAATTAGGTAAGACGAAGCATTGAAAAAAGAGGAAAAAAACGACACGCTGAACGAAATCAATTTGCCGAACACACCGAGCATTTTGTTACGTTGTGATCGTAAAGACACCAAGAAGACGAGGAGGAGAGTGGCAGAGGCAGGGAGAGAGGACAGGAGGGGGGAGAGGGAGTGAAAGCGGCAGCAGCACCCACTCAGTCACTCACTCACATACTCACCCACTCACTCACCTACTCACCCACTCGGTCACTCACATACCCACTCGCTCACTCACCCACTCGCTCACTCACTCACCCACTCAGTCACCTACTCACCTACCTACTCACCCACTCAGTCACTCACATACTCACCCACTCGCTCACTCACCTACTCACCTACCTACTCACCCACTCACCTACTTACCCACTCACTCACCTACTCACTCACCTATCACTCAACTACTCACCCACTCACCTACTCGCTCACCTACTCACTCACCCACTCACTATCCTACTAGCCCACTCACCTACTCAATCACTCACCTACTCACTAACCTATTCACTCACCAACCCACTCACCTATTCACTCACCTACTCACTCACCTATTCACTCATCTACTCGCTCACCTACTCATCTACTCACTCGCTCACCTACTCACTCACCTACTCACTCACCAGATTGCCGTGGCCACGTGCCGCTTGCTCCCTTCTGTCACGATTCTTGACCGTCAGCCATCAAAGTCCGCGAACAAATGGGCGACAACAACAACAGCAACACAAAAGAATAATAACACACACTTCCATCGACATATCTAAAAAGGTCGAGCGAAAATTCGCGTTTGTGGCCGGTGTCCCATGCTGTGATCAAAGCCCGGCAAGTGGCGTTGGTGGCCACGCTGCTGCTGCCTGTTTAGCGAGCGCTGCGGCAGGCAAGCGGCGAGGGTTGGTGGGTCACTGAACAAACGCTGCGAATCTCCCTTCAACGCGGGCGTCGAGGAGGAGGAAGTCGCGCTTCCTTGGCTCGTCGTGAGAAAGGCGGTACAGCCAATGGACTGACCTCCTCCGTCTGTTACCGTCTGTAACGGACGGGGGGGGGCAGGGGGTGTCGCTACCATTAACGAGCGTGGGTTTTACTTCGGGTGCTCCACTTTTCTCCCGCTTGTATGACGGACGCCCACATTTAATTGTCTTAAACAAATCTTAAGATGAAATAAGTATAACCCGTAAAAACAAAGTTTTTCACTATAAATCCTTTATATGCGTGGCAGCTAGAGTCCTCTCGTCCTCTGGCTTGAGATGGATGCCACCTATGGGTCAGATGATTGTCAGTATTAAGCAATTGGTAATTAAATATTTAATTTGTTTTCCCTAAACAGTGTGAAATTTTGGAAAAAAAAGTTCACGAAAATTAATTGTCACACACAACGAGTCTGTGTGGAAAATGTCAGCTCGATTGGATCACGGGAAGTGGGGTAAAAAACGACCGACAGATTTGCACGGTCGTAAGCAAGCAAGCAAGCGAACTTAATATAAAGGATTTAAAAAAAGAAGCCGATGAAGCGGCGAGAACCCTCGTGAGAAAGAGCAGTTGGACTCAGCGTTGTTATTACACGTGTACGACACACCGGCTACCTAGGCAGTGCAACAAGTGGATTGCAGATACAGCTGTGATGTGGAATTTGAGTGTTCTCCCTGAGTATCGATTTTGGTCCAGGCATTGTTTACCGCGGGTGCTAAAACGTTCACCCTGTATTTATGTATTCATGTTAGACAATCATTGGTGACCGGGTTGAGGTTATAAACCCTCTTACACCTGAGAACTTGCTTTACTCACGGGTGGCTGATACTCAGATTCGAATCCCAGGCTCCCATCGGTCTCGGGGGCTTGAGTCATTAACCCCCCTCTCCTCCCCTCCCCTCCCACCGGTGCACTCGGCCAGAACGCCGTTGCAAGTTTATAGGACGGGGAAATCGGTTTGGTTGATCATTGACCTTTCAGCCATCAAAAGGTTGCAGCAAATCCTCAGCGCCAAACAAGCGACACAATTTCAGTTGATTAGAAGGGCCGCGGTGGGGGTGGCGTGTAGTGGGAGGGGGTTGTGGGAGGTTTCCTCGCCACTGATCCAGCAGTGGCTATGAGACGTTAACTCCCTCGCCACGTGTGCAGGAGGCCGTGGGTTCGATCCCGACCCTGACGCCTGCTGCTGCGTATTTGCAGTTCGCGTGCCTCTCCTTCTCCCCGTGGTCGCGTGGATGTTTCTCCCGGGTCCTCCGTTTAAACAACATCGTGCTGTACTGGCAACGTTAACAATCACACGATAAGTAAAAACCACACAGCCGCAGCATCGCCCCAAACAGCGAAACCACCGCTGACTGAACCCGCGTGCGCGTGTCAGACTCGCGCAATGAGAGCGGTGGCGACAAATACCAACTGCGATCACGCTGGTCAACACACTTTGTCTGGCACGAGGTATTCCAAGGGTTTTAATGTAATTTGGACTTTTGCAGCTGTTCTATACTAATTTCAGGGTGCTGATTCCAAATCTGGCATCAGTTTTTGTCTATCACATCAGGTTTTTGAAATATCAAATATTGCATTTTCAATAAAAACTGCGGAAGAAAAATATTAAATAAATGTGGATATCTACATAAAATGTTATTCTAAACACACTATCGTAAACATACAGCACCATATTTTAACACTAAAGCAGTCACTGACTCGCAACCACTTGCAATCATAAGTGACAGAGTTAATTTCGAGTAAAATCAATGAAAATGGGGTATGCCGATAGCATAAAAATGAGATGTTATAAAGCAAATCTGAGATCAGATTTGGAATCAGCACCCTGAAATTAGTCTAGAACAGCTGCACAAGTCCAGGCCAGAAAAAACATGTTGTTTTTTGTTGACCAGTGTAATTATTTGATTTCTGAGATGCCGCATCGGAGCCATAGAGCACAGGGTTTGTGTTTTATTGTCGTAGTTTTGTAATGGCTTCGTTCGTGGTGCGTGCCCGTCGTCGTGGTAATGAACACGGCGTGTTGTGTTCACTAAAGACAATTCCGCTCGTGCACAATGTTACAGGAAGCGCAGTTTGAAGTCATTCGGTACAAACTAATTGAATTGAGTCCACGGCCACGTGTATTGGCGGCAGAGAGAAGGAGCGGACCTTGTAACCAATTCAATTCGAGTCGTTCCCCGTCTCCGTTTTTTTTGTTAGTTTTGTTAACCAGCCGAGATCCCATTGTCATCTGCAAGGGGTGGGGGAGGGGGGTAAATCCCCAGATCGAGCGCGTTTGTACGCCACAGAATCCGCAAGTACGCGACGGAGTTAGGCAACAGAACTGCCTCTCTCCCGCGGAGACTTGTTTTTTGCTTCGTTACTCGCAAATCCCTCTGATCCTCCGAGGGCGCTGGGTCCACACCAACATCTCCCAACCGCAGCCGCTCCGATTCTCACTTTTATTTTTTTGTGTTGCCGTGAATTTCCGTGGCTTATTTTTTTTTATTTCCCAGCGGATAAAGGATATTTCCCCCCACCGCCCCCCGTGTCAAAGTGTATAACAGGAGCACTTTTCTAATAAAACATTTTTTTAAAATAATAATAATCTGTAATTGTGGAGTGCTTTGATGTTGTCTGCCGGCCGTGTCGCCCTTGAAAAGGAGGGCTTGTCAGCTGGTCCGGGCTTTCCTCGTCCAGTGAAACTTCTGAACTTCTGAAAAAAATAGAGCTTCGTAGATCATCGGATTTCTCAAATTTAAAATAAATATTCTGATTCGTATAACTATAGACACACAACGTACGGAGGAGCGCTGTGTTCATGCCCTGCTGCTGGATGAATGCCTCCCCCTCGCCGTGGGCATTGTTTGACCATACTTCACCACGCTGGTCACCGCGGGGATGTGGTGAAAGGCAACCACGATGTGGTTCAGATGTGACTCACCGCTGATGTCAGCAGTGGCCGGGAATTGAAACTCAAGTTGCTGGATTTGCAGCGGAGTGCTGTAAACTAAACTAAAAAATAGTTAAGTTTAGTTTGTGTACATTTTGTAAGTGATTCGATTACCTTTCCTCTACTTAGGACTCCTATTGTGTCTCTGTGTCGTTTGTTGTTGGCACGTTCTGACCTGCCCCGACTTGACATCTGTCTAAAAGAGCTTTATCGCTCATCGGATTCCTCCAGTATAAACACTCTGATGGTGTGCGCTAACAACTGCGCCACCGCTCCACGCCGAGCGCTCATGCTGCCAGCTCGTGCATTGTGCGCACACGCGGTGGTCACACACAACAATGCGTCTCATGAAGACAAAACACTCAGCACGTTCGTCAACAATGTTGTGGCCTTCAAATAAAACAAATTAGATGTTGGCCAATGGAATTTGCTGATATCACACACACACACACATACTCTTAGGTTGTTTTTCTTTCGGTAAAGCCACGTAGGTAAAAATTTTAAATTAATAAAAGTAAAATAAAATAAAAATCACGACATTTCAGTTTGTACAAACTGAGTTGCAGTGGTGATGGTGGTGGTGATCATGGTGATGATGGTGGTGGTGATGGTGGTGGTGATGGTGGTGGTGATGGTGGTGGTGATGGTGGTGGTGATCATGGTGATGATGGTGGTGATGATGGTGGTGATGGTGGTGATGATGGTGATGATGGTGGTGGTGATGGTGGTGGTGATGGTGGTGGTGATGGTGGTGATGATGGTGGTGGTGATGGTGGTGGTGATGGTGGTGATGATGGAGGTGGTGATGGTGGTGGTGATGGTGGTGTTGATGGTGGTGATGATGGATGTGGTGATGTTGGAAGTAGAGGTCGTGGTGTTGGTGGACGTTACAGTGGTGGTGGTAATAGTGGAGGTGGTGGTGATGGTAGTGATGGAGGTGGCCTCACCACCACCACCATCACTCACCACCATCACTCACCACCATCACTCACCACCATCACTCACCACCACCACCCTCACCATCACTCACCACCATCACTCACCACCGTGATGATGATGAGAGAGAGATCGAACCCACGACCTCCTGTATACCAGGCGAGGTGGTCAACATCTCATAGCCACACGGAGCCAGCGGAACGGATAATTGAATCGATGATAATCGATCATCAGAGAGAGGGAGACACGCAAAACGATGATTATAATCGATGGGAATCGATTAGCAGAGAGAGACGCGCAAACCAACGATTAGAATCGATGAGAATCGAACAAACGATTCCCGGTGACGTCATCACCCGGAGACCATCGCCAAGTTCAAGATGGCGGCACCCAGGTTGGAGGTTGTTGTTGTGGTGGTTGTAGTGGTGGTGGTGGTTGTAGTGGTGGAGGTGGTGGTTGTGGTTGTAGTGGTGGTTGTTGTGGTGGTTGTGGTGGTTGTTGTGGTGGTTGTAGTGGTTGTGGTGGTGGTTGTTGTGGTTGTGGTGGTTGTGGTGGTGGTTGTGGTGGTGGTTGTGGTGGTGGTGGTTGCTGTGGTGGTGGTTGTAGTGGTGGTTGTTGTTGTGGTGGTGGTTGTAGTGGTTGTGGTGGTGGTTGTTGTGGTGGTGGTTGTTGTGGTGGTGGTGGTTGTTGTGGTGGTTGTTTGTGTGGTGGTTGTTGTGGTTGTTGTTTGTGTGGTGGTGGTTGTGGTGGTTGTTGTTTGTGTGGTGGTGGTGGTTGTTGTTGTTTGTGTGGTGGTGGTTGTTGTTGTGTGGTGGTTGTTGTTGTGGTGATGGTTGTTTGGTGGTGGTTGTTGTTGTGGTGGTTGTTGTTTGTGTGGTGGTTGTTGTGGTGATGGTTGTTTGTGTGGTGGTGGTTGTTGTTGTTGTTTGTGTGGTGGTTGTTGTTGTGGTTGTTGTTTGTGTGGTGGTGGTTGTGGTGGTTGTTGTGGTGATGGTTGTTGTTGTTTGTGTGGTGGTGGTTGTTGTTTGTGTGGTGGTTGTTGTGGTGGTTGTTGGGTTTAACGAGGCTGCATTGTGTGAGGAGCTCACAAATCCTTGAAAGATCTGGGCAAAGTCCCATCAGTGAGCTCCTCCGGCAGGCAAGGCTGCGTTGGCTGGGTCATGTAGCCCGCATGCCCAGCCACCGCATGCCTAAACAGCTTTTGTTCGGCCGGATCGAGGGGGCTAAACGGGTGCGGCACGGGCTAGAGAAGAGATGGAGTGATGTGGTACAGGAGGACGTGGAGCTGAGTGGACTTGCCGATGACTGGTACCAGCGGTGTCAAGATCGGCCTCTGTGGTGGAGGCTCGTGAAGGACGCTACTGGGCAGTTGGAGGCAGTCGCCCTCCAACAACAACGGAGGGCGGAGGAGCGACGCTCACAACAACGAGCGGAGCGCCGGGTGCCTAAAGCACGGCAAGTTGGTACAGTAGGGGGCACAGGTGGTGCATCAGCCAGTCATCTCGGTCATCTCAGTCGACCCGTGGCACCTGCTGGGTCTGCCCCGTGACCTGCCAGCGGGCGTTCGACACTTCACGTGGCCTCAAGGTGCACGTGGCCTGGCACAAGCGTCGTGATGACGTCACCGCCACTTAGTGGCGAATTGCGGTTGCTGTTGTTGTAATGTGTGTGTGTCTGTGTGTAATGTCTACACACACACACGCTCACCTCTCCCCCACTCCCCCCCTCCCAGGCCAAAGGACTTTGTCACCACCATGGCCACTGCGGCCCTCCTGTCTGACGCTCCGCGCCCTGCCCCTGCTGCTGCTGCCCCTGCTGCCCCTGCTGCTGCCCCTGCTGCCCCTGTCCCTGCTGCTGGTGATGTTGCCGGTGGTGGCGTCGATTGCGAGCAACCTGAGGAGTTGGCGGTGGTGTGGGCGGCTGGGAAGCTGCGCTCAATATTCACGCTGCTCGTTGAGTGTGAGGAGGACGACCATGTGAGACCACGGGTGGGGCGCATGGGGGGACAAGGATATGTGTCTGTGTGTGTAGGTCGACTCAGCCTCAAATGTGTAAACATCGCTGCTAGGGAGACAAAGGGCGAGGTGTTGGCCACCGACCCCCTCGTGTGCCGTGCCGGCCTTTACAGGTGCTACTCACTAACAGCACTTGCCCCTACAGTCTGTGAAGGCTACACGGGGGATCTTTGTGCACGGCACGGGCTAGAGAAGAGATGGAGTGATGTGGTACCGGAGAACGTGGAGCTGAGTGGACTTGCCAACGACTGGTACCAGCGTTGTCAAGATCGGCCTCAGTGGTGGAGGCTCGTGAAGGACGCTACTGGGCAGTTGGAGGCAGTCGCCCTCCAACAACAACGGAGGGCGGAGGAGCGACGCTCACAACAACGAGCGGAGCGCCGGGTGCCTAAAGCACAGCAAGTTGGCACAGTAGGGGGCACAGGTGGTGCATCAACCAGTCGTCTCGGTCATCTCAGTCAGTTGACCCGTGGCACCTGGGTTTGCCCCTTGACCTCCTGCCAGTGGGCGTTTTTGACACTTCACGTGGCCTCAAGGTGCACATGGTCTGGCGAATGGCAGTTGTTGTTGTTTGTGTATCTCCTCACCTCCCCATGCCCCCACAGGTGCTTGCGTGTGCATGCGAGGTGTTGCAAATCCTCAGCTCCAGCCATGCTGGCGCATTGGCATTTAACAACAATGGAAGCCTCGCGGCCTTAGCCAGCCTGCTGGGACGCACTCACAACCCTCACACCCTGGAGAAGATCACCTGGTAGAAACCCACCCACACCACCCACACTCACCACCCACACTCACCATCCACACTCACCACCCACACTCACCACCCACACTCACCACCCACGCTCACCATCCACACTCACCACCCACACTCACCACCCACTCTCACCACCCACTCTCACCACCCACACTCACCATCCACACTCACCACCCACACTCACCATCCACACTCACCACCCACTCTGACCACCCACACTCACCACCCACGCTCACCACCCACCCTCGCCACCCCTACCCCAGGCACGCTGTGGAACCTGTCGTGCCACGAGTCTCTGAGGGCTGCGCTGGTGGAGCTTTGCCTCCCGGCACTGGTGGAGCACGTGCTGGTGCCAGAGAGCGGCTGGAGGAGCAATTTTGGAGACTCACCCGCCTCACCCTCCCCACCCGGCTCGTCCGCCTCGCCTTCCGCGGCGTTCTGCAACGCCTTGACGTGCCTGCGGTAAGGGGTACCAAGAGGCGGACGTGACGGTGATTTTGCGGTTGACGCGACTGGGAACGTCGCAGTTGACGCGACGTCACGCGGTTGACGCGACGGGGACGTCGGGGGTTCAGACTAGAGGCTTCTTCAACCCGACGTGGATCTTCATCACCAGCAACACGAAGAACCCCGAGCCCCTCACTCTTTGGTCTGCATCAGCAGCAGGCCACGCTTTCCCACCTGATGACGGACACTTGCGTTGCGCCCGAAACGTCGTGATTTAATTGTTTTCATTTATTTTATTTTTCGTGACTTTACCGAAAAAACCAAAGAGTATGAATCATCGCAGTCATGAAAACTTCAAATCTAGAACCCCTCGCCCCGCCCACCTTCTAGATCTCTCGAGATCTTTCCCGAAGGCTCCCCGAGAGCTGTTTTGTACCACGTGACTGCCCAGCAGCCCCCGTCCCAATATCATCCGGTCACGTGTCGGCAGGTCAACCAGCGTATCGTGCCCCAACGTAACCCTGGCTGGCTGACGCTCCCTCTCGCTCCCTCGCCAGGATCCCGCACCGCATGCTCTACGTGGTGCCTCCGCGCTGACCAGCGCTCACCCAAGCCCCGCTAGGGCTGGTACTACGCCCTGCTAGCGGGCTACACGTAATGCCAACACATCATCCGCCGTGGCTTCGTAAGCCCGGCACCACGCAGTGACAATCACAGTCACTACACAGGCAAGAACATCTGCTGGACTACATTGTGACGGAACAGTGGATGCGGGCCCATGTCCTTGACACCAGGACCTACCGTGGAGCTGATCTGCCCTCTGACCATCGACTTGTCATCTGTAAGATGCGCCTGCCATTCTTCCACTCCGGTGGTGGGTCTACACCCAGGACCCCATTCCAACCTAAGGTGGCCTGGTCTCAGCTGATGAAAGTTTGAAGCGAGAATTTCATCATTGCTTGCGGCTGGGGTTGGCATCGTCCCTCATTCCTCATGTCGAGGGGAAATGGGCGAGGTTTAGGACTGTGGCTCATGCAGCTGCAATGGCTGCTTTGAGTACACGGTCCAGACCTCCTCAGAGAGCCTGGCTGACAGACGAGGTGTTCAGGCTGGCTGAGAAAAAGCGACAGGCCCACTCTCATCGTCTACAGCATCCCACGTCCGAGAATGAGGAGGCTTACCGCAGCCTTCGTTTAGAGGTTTGGAGAGCCTTAAGGCGCTGCAAGGATGGTTGGTGATTGCAGGTTCCTGAAGAGATGAAGTCTGCCTCAATGGCCTGCGATCACAAATCGTTTAATTCCATAAAAAAGTAACCTGCAGCACCACACCTATTACCATCATTAGGGGAAAGAACGGTGATCCAATCTCCGACCCCCAGGAACAGGTTTGCAGATTTGCTGAGCATTTCTGTGAGGTCCTGGGAGAGGGGAAATCTCCCACCCTGGAAAACATTGTGGGACAAAGAGAGGATAACCCTGCTAAGGCTACGGTGCCTCATTATTTGAAGAGGAAGTCACCCCCTGTAAGTGGCTGGCTGAGGTGCTATCTAAGGAAGTACTGAAAGCGATCCAGAACCTGAGACGAGGAAAGGCACCGGGCAGAGATGATCTCTCAAGAGAAATGCTGAGGGAGGGTGGCGTTTGTGCACAGACTGCCCTATATGACATCATAACAACAGTCTGGACCACTGGACGGGTTCCGCAGGATTGGGAGGATGCCCTGGTGGTCCCCCTCTTTAAGAAGGGCGACCCTGCACAGACTAACAACTACAGGGGCATCTCACAACATCGCCTTGCTAGGCACGCTGATGAGAGGCTTGCGGAGCCCCAATGTGGTTTCAGGAAAGGGCAGTCCTGCACAGATGCCATATTTTCTGTCCGTCTGCTACAGCAGAGGTGTAGGGAATTCTAACAAGACCTACATCTCTGCTTTATTAAACTGGTCAAGGCCTATGATACCATCAGTAGGCCTGGGCTCTGGGTTGTTTTTCGTGCTTTCGGAGTCCCTGACCCTCTGCTCACGATCATTAAGGACCTTCATGATGGTGAGCGGGCCTGGGTAAAACTACATGGCCGGGAGTCAGAGCCATTCCCTGTACACCTTGGGGTGCGACATGGATGTCCTCTGGCTCCCACATTATTTAACATCTATTTTGACCACGTGGTTAGTGAAGCCTTCAACAGCTGTACCGGGGGAATTTCCATCTGGTACAGATATAATGGGAGGCTGATCGATGCCCCGGTGCGGTCAAGGGATGGCTCCCTATTGGTCAACCACGTTATGTATGCCGATGATTTGGTAATAGCTGCTCATTCAGAGGAGGAGTTGGAGACGCTGCTGCTGAGACTGGAGCGTGCCACTAAGAGGTGGGGCCTTACCATCAGCCCCACCAAAACTAAGCACCTGCCTGGGTATTTTGTACCATCGGACACTCCACCCCCACAACTCCCAATCGGTGATGGGGCATTTGTGGAGAGAGTGGAGAGTTACTCATACCTGGGCAGTGTGCTTATGACCATCTCCAGTTTAACAGCAGAGGTCTCACTCCGAATCAGTCGAGCGGCAATATCTTTTCATCGGTTGCGTAACGCTGTGTGGAAGCTACCTGGTCTGTCGCTCCGCACGAAGCTTCAGGTCTTCTCGGCCACAGTCATTCCCTCCCTTCTCTACGCTTGCGAAACGTGGACCCCCCTAATGGAGCATCTTCGCCGGTTAGAAACATTTAGGCTGGCCTGCCTATGATCCATCCTGGGTTTAACCCACAGGCTGGATTGTGTGAGGAGCTCACAAATTCTTGAAAGATCTGGGTAAAGTCCGCGAGCGCTCACACCGCTCCTCATACATGACGGCGTTAACTATTATTATTCATCATCGAGGTGTTTGGGTTTAGATCACATTATCCACTATACACTACACTATACACTACACGATACACTACACTATACACTACTATACACTACACGATACACTACACTATACACTACACTATACACTGCACTATACACTACACTATAAACTACTATACACTACACTATACACTACACGATACACTACTATACACTATACACCACACTATGCACTACACACTACACTACACTATACACTGCACTATACATTATACACGCAATATAACCCAGACAAACCCTCTATCATGGAGAGAGAGTGTGTATATTTATTGTTGTTAATGAAAACACTGAAATTCGACTCGTTTCTAGGGTGGCGGATCCCGCCGGCGAGCCGGAGCCCACGGCACCTCCTCCCACGGCACCTCCTCCCACGGCACCTCCTCCCACAGCAGCAGCTCTCGCAGCAGCAGCTCCCACAGCTCCTCCCGCAGCAGCGATGTCGCCGCGGGAATTGCATCAACTCCGTGACGAGTTGCGGGATCTTCAGAGGGAGCTGGGGGGGGCGACGCCGAGACCCGACCAGGAGCCCCCAGAGCAGATCGCCGCTGGCGCTGCCGCCGGCAGAGGCACCGGCCGCACGTCTTGGCTCTAGCGCGAGCGAGTTTCACCCTCGCCGCCGCCGCGGCGTCACCGGCCAATCGATTTTTGCCACCTCACGTTCCATTTACTCGCCCCCCCCCCCCCCCCCAATGCACCGCCGCCGTTTCCACCGTCTCTTTGCTCAACGTTCTTCCGTCGTCAAGGTTCAATGGGAGGCGACCGTCTGTGCCTTTTGTAAAGATTCTAGCGGCAGAGCGCGGGCACCCCACTCACGCGACGGTGTGGGGGCGGCACGTCGGGCTCCCAGCCTCGTAGCTCGGGGGATTCAGCTCTGCTGGGTTTGTAGCCCAGAGTGTTGGGAGCAGAGGTCGCAAACGGGGTTTGATTCCTTAGCCGTACCCGGCCGCACCAGGGTCGCAAACAGGTATCTGTGTGTGTGTGTGTCTGTGTGTATCTGTGTGTGTATCTGTGTGTGTGTCTGTATCTGTGTGTATCTGTGTGTGTCTGTGTGTATCTGTGTGTCTGTGTGTATCTGTGTGTGTCTTTGTGTATCTGTGTGTGTGTCTGTGTGTATGTGTGTGTCTGTGTGTATGTGTGTGTCTGTGTGTATCTGTGTGTGTGTCTGTGTGTATCTGTATGTGTCTGTGTGTGTGTCTGTGTGTATGTGTGTGTCTGTGTGTATCTGTGTGTGTCTGTGTGTATCTGTGTGTCTGTGTGTATCTGTGTATCTGCTTACATTATCAGAGTTATGTTTTTGTTTGCATTATGGCTGCAGGTATTGTGGTCTATGCAAACATGACTCCTTGTAAAAAAAGGTGTCAGTTTTGTTGCAAGATAAAAGGGTAAAAAAACAATTATCATATTTTTCTACTGGTAAAGGAGGTTCCAATGGTGTAAATGGTTACTCACCAGTGACTCACGGCCTACCCGTACCCGGCCGCACCAGGGTCGCAAACGGGTACCCGTACCCGGCCGGGTACGGGTAGCCGGGTATCGGGTAGGGTACGGGTATCGGGTAGGGTACGGGTATCGGGTAGGGTACGGGTATCGGGTAGGGTACGGGTATCGGGTAGGGTACGGGTATCGGGTAGGGTACGGGTATCGGGTAGGGTACGGGTATCGGGTAGGGTACGGGTATCGGGTAGGGTACGGGTATCGGGTAGGGTACGGGTATCGGGTAGGGTACGGCTATCGGGTAGGGTACGGGTATCGGGTAGGGTACGGGTATCGGGTACCTGGTTGCGACCTCTGAGAGTTCAATCTCCTTAGAACGCGTTTTTTGTGGCATCGCGGCTTCCGCATTGGGCCAACGTATAAATGCACGAGTCGGGGTGGATGTTTCATTAAAGCAACCCAAATCTTTTTGTTACTTTAGCTAACTTCTTAATTTGCGTGAGTTTCTGTTTTACATTTTTTCGTTATATTTCCTCACTCCATCGGTGGATACGAGGGCTTGAGTTTAGCGGGCGCACGTCCTTATTATACCGTAGCAGCCGGCTCCGATTTATATTGACAAAACAAACGGCATTTAAGATGTTGGCTATGCGGTTTGTGAACAGCTGTGGCCAAATCTGAACAGCAGGTGACGTGGTGTTGTGTATATTGTTTTTTTGAAAAATATAAAAATTGGGATTAGAGGAGTCACGCGGTATTCTCATCCTCTTATCGGCGAGGTTATCTGTCATTTTGCTCCTTTTAGCTGGAAGGTAAAGATTCGCAGATGGCCCCACAGATAATAAGATCAGCAGCTCTATTGGTGTTCCCCCGTGTCACAGCGGATCACAGGAGTTCTGCATTGAATTTTGCGCAGTGTTTGAAAGCTATCATTCAACCATTATGCACCAGATATACACAAAAACTGCGTTTAAACGATCTCCCTTGTACAGATAAAAAAACATACGCCCACAACATCCCATTACCACACATCAACGCAAATGCAGTGGGTTCTCATCAGGCGCACGCCAAGACTGGGAGGCAGCAAGTTTTATTCTCTCACACAACCAACACTATTCAACGTTCCAAGGTGATTCTAGATTTGAAGCTTTCGTGACTGCAAGGATTCATATTCTTAGGTTTTTCGGTAAAGTCACCGTGTAGGTAAAACATTAAAATTAATAAAATAAAATAAAAATCACGACGTTTCGGAGGCAACACAAGCTTCCGTCTTCAGGTGGAACCGTCACAGCCACGACAGCTGTATCAAGTAAATGAGAGATCGCAAGAGCTACCACTCCGTATATATAATGGTTGGAGAGGGGGGAAGGGCCAAGTACGGCACACTTTTTATTAATTTGGTAAGGTGAGGCTTAAGACTAGGAATAGACTGCAGTCTATTGCAATCTCTCATTTACTTGATGCAGCTGTCGTGGCTGTGACGGTTCCACTGAAGACGGAAGCTTGTGTTGCCTCCGAAACGTCGTGATTTTTATTTTACTTTTATTGATTTCAACGTTCCCAGGTGAACCAAGCACATTGCGAGCGACTGCGCTCATCGCGGGCTAAGCACGTAAGGTGGTGGCCGCCGTCCTTACCCACTTCGCCGTTTGAGCGGAACCCCTTCGCTACCGTTGGACGGGAACAGGCGACGCGTACGGAGGCTGAAAAGCGAAGATGGAAGTGGACGACTTCTTTCCCGCGGTTGAAGAACCACGCGGGGACTCCGCACCCCCCCCCCCCTCCCCGTCAGTCACACTCTGGGTCCACATCACGATCTTAAATTTGGAGCTTTCGTGACTGCAGGAATTACTCTTTGGTTCTTTCGGTGAAGTCACGTATAAAGATAAAATAATAAATTAAATACTAGCATAATACGACGTTTCGATTGCAACACAAGCAATCGTCATCGGGTATAAATGAAATAGCGACATAAAATCTAACCAGAAAACTATAGACAAACATATAAGCAGACAGACATCACCAAGGTACACAGAGAGAGAGCAACACAGGCACAGAGAGGGGGGATCGTCTCTGTGGTGAGGCCTTAAATAGACAGAGGGGGGCGGAGGCAGAGAGAGGGAGGGGTTAGAGAAAACATTAACATGTCAATGAGTACGAAGAGACGCGTAGTAAAGTACGCAGGCTTGAACATTAGGAGAGAGGGAGAAAGAACACACTAAATTAAATAACCTAGCAAAATATCGAAATGTTATGTAATACAACACAGAGAGTCGGTCAACACACAACGCATAGCCTGGTCGATTACGTATTTCAAAGATTGCTGAGTCAGCACGTGGCCATCCCCTTCTGGGCCACGTGCTCCGTCACATCTGGAATGTGCCCTCTAGTGAGCCCTTGTGTATAGTACACCCACTGTCGCCATAGAACAGCCCATTTATACTACAGGTGCAGTGCCATGAGAGGGGCCACTGTGCCAGCCCAAGAGGGGAGGGGCTGCTGGGGGCTCTGGGATCCCGGGCGGGTCCAGACGCTTAAGCCTCTGGGCGCCAGGCGCTGGGTTCCCAGGGGGTCCAGACGCTTAAGCCTCTGGGCGCCAGGCGCTGGGTTCCCAGGGGGTCCAGACACTTAAGCCTCTGGGCGCCAGGCGCTGGGTTCCCAGGGGGTCCAGACGCTTAAGCCTCTGGGCGCCAGGCGCTGGGTTCCCAGGGGGTCCAAACGCTTAAGCCTCTGGGCGCCAGGCGTTGGGTTCCCAGGGGGTCCAGACACTTAAGCCTCTGGGCGCCAGGCGTTGGGTTCCCAGGGGGTCCAGACACTTAAGCCTCTGGGCGCCAGGCGCTGGGTTCCCAGGGGGCCCAGACGCTTAAGCCTCTGGGCGCCGCCAACGGGGGGGGGGGGCTGTGTGTGCTCTGTGGGATGTCTGGTGGCGCACACGGCCCCACCGCTCGTTGGACCAGGCATAAAAGGAGAGCTCCCTGGACGATCGGGGCCCAGTTGTAACTCAAGACCCAAGACCCACGACCAGCCATCTGAAGACCCTGGGATGCTGTGAGAGCCAGCGCTGGGACTCTGGAACTCCCGACTCTACGACCTTGTGAGGGCGAGTTCCGGAGCGTAGCCAGAGTAGAATATCTAGGCTGTGTAGCTAGGCTGTGTACCTAGGCTGTAACAGAGTATCAGGACTGTTGGAGAGTTGGACTGTTGGAGTGTTGTATTGTAATAAAGAAGTTACATCTACAAGTGTCTCCGGAACCCGTTTCACGTGTACCATTCTTAAAGTATCAGGAAATAATTTACGAGTCGCTTGATTCAACCACACTGACACTGCCTGCACACCAGCACACCTCCAACCATTAGGATGCTCCCTGCATCTGTGGAAAACTGCCAGCCTCAATTTCTTGCAGTGCACCACAGCTCAATTGTAGACCCTGCTGCTCCGGGAACATGCTTCACTCGCTCCGTTGAAAAACATTACACCAGCCGCCTGATACACGCACTTACCATTCTCTCTCCCAGTGCCAACTCCACAGCAAGGGGTACACCAGGGGTCGGGAACCTTTTTGACTGGGAGAGCCATAAAAGCCAAATATTTCTAAATATATTGCATTGAGAGCCATATAGTAATTTTTTACGTATAATAAATTAAATGTCTTACTTTTAATGCGACTTCTGGTGCTGCGTGGTTTTGCTGATGGCCTTGTGTAGTCTGGTTCGTACGTGGTGAGGCTGAGCTTCATGCAGGCGTTGAGGCCCCGTGACCCGTGAAATTTATCTTCAAAACTAATTTGTGTTTACTTTAAAATGAGACAGTATTATTAAGCAATATCACAAGTATTTTAAAATCAGTTCCAAACTGATTTTTATTTATTTTTTCAACTCAAAATTGTCTGGGAGCCATATGCCGTCACCAAAAGAGCCATATATGGCTCGCGAGCCATAGGTTCCCGACCGCTGGGGTACACGGTACAATGCTTTTCTCTAGGTGTGTGTGTGCAGCTTTGCGCCCATTACATGATTGTGTGTGGCCGGAGGAACAGCAAGCCTTCTACCCTACTATTCATAAAGCAATGCATCGTGTACCCCTGACCTCTCAATACACCTAAAGTAGGGTTGCCCAGACTTCTCAAAACGTGGTTCCATATTCATGCTTCAGTAGCGCTGCTGGTACTGTTCATCCCAGCGGGCCTGCTGTTGGAACTGCGGGTGCTGCTGCCGAAAGGCTGGCTGCTGCTGTCTGGCCCAACCTTTCTCCTCTCCATAGCCCTGCTGCTGGCCCATGCCGTGGGTCGGCTGCGAGGGCATTTGTTGCTGCTGCATCAGTGGCCGCTGTTGCTGCTGTTGCTGCTGCGGTGGCGACCGAAACACGGGTGCTTGCGGCTCCACCAAAGCCGCCGACTGCCCCTTCTGCGACACGGCAGCCGATGCCTGCTTAACGAGCTGCGATATCGCCGGAGCGCTCTGCATGAGCATGTCAAGCGCCTTGCGCACGTTGGGGTTATCCAGGCCGAGAGACGACAGGTTTACAGTGGTGGGACCGAATGTCGTGCTGGTGGTGACGCGCTCCTGCTGTTGCGGAGGCACCAGTTGCTGCTGCTGCTGCGACGGCATTCGCACGCCTTGGTCCGAGAAATCCCTGCCCATGTTGCCGTAGTTGCCGTAACCACCGACCTGACCCTGAGCTCCCTGCGCAGAGGTGGTGGCGCGCGGCTGCAGCGCATCCTCCATGGGTGCGTGGCTCAACTCGGACTGCGCGCCTACCGACGGCGTTCCTGGCAGCCAGCGCGAGTTGCGTCGCAGCGGGGAGAGAGGACGCGACGCCGCCACTTGCCCCATGTTGTTCGCCTGCTGTCTGCCCGCCGTGTGGCCCGATGGGGGCAAGCTCCCCTGCCTTCCCATCCCCGCCGCCATTGCACCTCCACCGCCGCCGTCGTTGTTGTTGTTACCGCTGTTAAAAGCAGCGCCGGGCGCGTCGGCCGCCGCTCTGTTAGCGTACGCGCCTACGGCTTTGCTTGCCATGTTGGGCAGTTGTTGGTCAAGTCTCTGGCGAGCCGGTGGTGTGTTCTGTTGAAGATGGTGCATTCCAATCCCTCCCTCAGCCAAGCGTGGCGGGGTGGCTGGCTGATTACGCATTCCTGGCACACAATTGAAATCAAAATATGTGACGTGTTAAAGAGGCTACATTGACTATTTTTTTTCTAGAAATGTGTTTCTCTTCGTCGTAGAGGAAAGCTGCTAGATGTGAAAAGGTGTAACGCCTTACCAAGTTTAGTTTCTGTACTGCAGTAATAAAAATGGTGAAATTCTAAAATCACCCTTGCTGAAGGACATAAGAAATGACAAATTGAAAAATGGGAATTATCAAAAAAACTCTAAAATAATATTCACATACCCTGAGCCAAAATGAATGCAATGCCAGAAATAAGTATAACCCGTAAAAAACAAAGTTTTTCACTATAAATCCTTTATATGCGTGGCAGCGAACTTAATATAAAGGATTTAAAAATATATTCGCCTGTGGAGGACGCGGGGATCGATCCCGCGACCTTTGGCATGGGAAGCGAGGGCGCTACCAACTGCGCTACTCCGCCACGGCCTGTGGATGGGTTACGCTCTGGGCTCCTACACTGTGACGTTCAGCCAAAGCCATGAATGCGTTCTATTTGAATATATGTAAAATAATTTTTTTTTGCCTAAAAAGTGTAAAATTTGGAGAATTTTTTTTCACGAACAATAATTGTCTGGCACAACGAGTCTGTGTGGAAAATGTCAGCTCGATTGGATCACGGGAAGTGGGTTAAAAAACGACCGAAATATTTGCACGGTCGTAAGCAAGCAAGCACGCAAGCAAGCAAGCGAACTTAATATAAAGGATTTTAAAAAAGACACTGAAAAACACACCATATGAAGACATCTTAAATTGAGCCTCTCCACCAAATTTGCTTTCCTATTTACAAACTGAATATTAACATTAGGGCTTGAGGCAGGTAATACAACAGCTTATGTAAACACTGCAAACATAATTTCTTCAAGGCAGAATTCAGAATTTTAGCTGAAGGAAAAAAAAAACCTCGTGAGATGGGACATCTCGCTTACTCGGGTGTCCATTTAAAATGTTGATTTTGCACAATCGTTCAATGTTGCGAATGATATTCACAGGGTCTTTAACTGCAACATTACAGCATTAGGCAAAGACTGACAATTATCTACAACAGCGGTCGGGAACCTATGGCTCGCGAGCCATATATGGCTCTTCTGGTGACGGCATATGGCTCCCAGACAATTTTGAGTTGAAAAAAAAATACAAAAATCAGTTTGGAACTGAATTTAAAATACTTGTGATATTGCTTAATAATACCGTGTCATTTTAAAGTAAACAGAAATTAGTTTTGAAGATAAATTTCACGGGTCACGGGGCCTCAACGCCTGCACGAAGCTCAACCTCACCACGTACGAACCAGACTACAAGGCCATCAGCAAAACCACGCAGCACCAGAAGTCGCATTAAAAGTAAGACATATTTAATTTATTATACGTTACAAATACTATATGGCTCTCAATGAAATATATTTAGAAATATTTGGCTTTTATGGCTCTCCCAGTCAAAAAGGTTCCCGACCCCTGCAATATACTATACCAACATTAATCACTTCCTAACATGGTTCACTATTGACGAGATAATCAACTGTAACATGAGCAACGCTGCTGTGCTTACCTCTGCCACGCACGCACCTTTAATGCGCAGCTACCGCTAAATTGTGGGTTAATTTCATGGAAACGGACACCCGGATTACCAAGTGGCCACCTCAAATGTGAAGTTCACTCCTCTCCCAAGAGAAACGGAGCTGATGCTGCTGCTGCTGCAGCAGAAGCAGCGTCCATGGGAAGTGGTGCCAAAAATCCCTGTTGCAGCCGACCGGCCGGTGGAGTGGGAGTGATGACGTGATCCATAGCAAAAGCCAACGAGCTGATGCTGCTGCTGCAGCAGAAGCAGCGTCCATGGGAAGTGGTGCCAAAATCCCTGTTGCAGCCGACCGACCGGCCGGTGGAGTGGGAGTGATGACGTGATCCATAGCGAAAGCCAACGAGCTGATGCTGCTGCTGCAGCAGAAGCAGCGTCCATGGGAAGTGGTGCCAAAATCCCTGTTGCAGCCGACCGGCCGGTAGAGTGGGAGTGATGACGTGATCCATAGCGAAAGCCAACGAGCTGATGCTGCTGCTGCTGCAGCAGCGTCCATGGGAAGTGGTGCCAAAATCCCTGTTGCAGCCGACCGACCGGCCGGTGGAGTGGGAGTGATGACGTGATCCATAGCGAAAGCCAACGAGCTGATGCTGCTGCTGCTGCTGCAGCATCCATGGGAAGTGGTGCCAAAATCCCTGTTGCAGCCGACCGGCCGGTGGAGTGGGACTGATGACGTGATCCATAGCGAAAGCCAACGAGCTGATGCTGCTGCTGCTGCAGCAGAAGCAGCGTCCATGGGAAGTGGTGCCAAAATCCCTGTTGCAGCCGACCGGCCGGTGGAGTGGGAGTGATGACGTGATCCATAGCAAAAGCCAACGAGCTGATGCTGCTGCTGCAGCAGAAGCAGCGTCCATGGGAAGTGGTGCCAAAATCCCTGTTGCAGCCGACCGACCGGCCGGTGGAGTGGGAGTGATGACGGGATCCATAGCGAAAGCCAACGAGCTGATGCTGCTGCTGCAGCAGAAGCAGCGTCCATGGGAAGTGGTGCCAAAATCCCTGTTGCAGCCGACCGACCGGTGGAGTGGGAGTGATGACGTGATCCATAGCGAAAGCCAACGAGCTGATGCTGCTGCTGCTGCTGCTGCAGCAGAAGCAGCGTCCATGGGAAGTGGTGCCAAAATCCCTGTTGCAGCCGACCGGCCGGTGGAGTGGGAGTGATGACGTGATCCATAGCGAAAGCCAACGAGCTGATGCTGCTGCTGCTGCTGCTGCTGCAGCAGAAGCAGCGTCCATGGGAAGTAGTGCCAAAATCCCTGTTGCAGCCGACCGACCGGCCGGTGGAGTGGGAGTGATGACGTGATCCATAGCGAAAGCCAACGAGCTGATGCTGCTGCCGCTGCTGCTGCAGCAGAAGCAGCGTCCATGGGAAGTGGTGCCAAAATCCCTGTTGCAGCCGACCGAGCCGGCCGGTGGAGTGGGAGTGATGACGTGATCCATAGCGAAAGCCAACGTGCCATCCACGTCTGTAAACTTCGCTTTTCTCACTACGAACTTTTCGCGGCGTACACCGATCCGCGTCCTGCTTAGATTTACGCAATGTTTCTGTGCCCAGGCCCCTGGCCTCCGTAACAAGATAATCTCACCTTTGATGTGGTAATGACGATGACTTCAAGATTTCTTGCCCTCTTCAATCTTGGTAGGCTTATTGTTGTTATAGATGTAATGTCATTATACTAATAACTTACAGCCGTTTGTAAATAACTACACTGTTTCGGTGATTATACTAATCTACTTGTAAAGTGTTCAAGTTATACTTTGAGTGTAAGGTTAAGTTTTTGTTTGTTACTATATGAATAGAGTGGTGCTCTTATTCATATAGTAGTTATACATGAAAATTTAAAGTTATTCTAGAGGTGGAATTCAACTTACGAGGTATTATTAGTCTTATTTTATTGGTTTAAACTCATCATAGTATGAGCGTATGTGCAGTGTTCATATTATATACTGTAGTTTCGTAGTACATATAATGCTATTCTCAATAGTTTCCTCGAGTGTTCCAGTAGTGCCGGAATTCAAGTCAAGTTTCATGGCTTCAGTCACAGTTAACCCAAAATATATTTTACAATCTTCCCGGATAATGCCTTAACATTGCCTACGAGACATCACCAATGCCTACCACTTATCTGCAGCAACCCCAAGACACACAGCACCAGTGCCCCTAGAGTCCCCCGCACGCTGCCACCGTACCTCTTTCGTCGAGCGCCTTTTCACGCAGAAAGCGCACTTGCTCCGAGATGCGATCCAGCTCTTCCAGGGACATGTCCTTCGCCTCGCTCAGAGCGCTGCGTAGCGACGACGACGGCGAGTTGGCATGCTGCGAGTAGGCCGCTGCCGCTGCCGCCCGCTCACTCGGGTACCTGGACGTGTTGCCGCGCGCGGGACCGGGCCGGTGAGGTGAATCTGTGGGCGACGCTCGCGCATGTAGCGGTGGGGCCAGGGTGTCCGGAGCTGGTGGGGCACGCGCGGGGGGGGCCTGTGTCGAAAAGCCAGTTCGAAATTCCGGCACTTGCGAGAAACGGTGCGGCCGCTGCTGGCGCCGCAAGACGCTGTCGGCGCGCTCGGCCGCTTGTCTGGCGATCTCACTCCGCCGCCGCCGCCGCTCGCGTAGGTCGCCCATGTAAGACTCAAACTCGCGACCCACGAGCTCCATGGCCACGGGCAAAGGCGTGTGGTGGTGTTCTGGTGGAAAACGCGATGTTTATGGCGCCACATCGAAGCTACCCGGATAAAGTCAAACACTACAAACGCCACCTTCAGTGGCATCGAAACAGAGAATTTTTTTTTTTCTCTGTAAGCCCAACAACATAGGTTTATTTAATCTTTGTTTCCATTTATTTGAAAGGAACACAAAGGCGAAAACGATATTGCATTGCAAATAAGTATAACCCGTAAAAACAAAGTTTTCCACTCTAAATCCTTTACATGCGTGGCGGCTAGAGTCCTCTCGTCCTCTGGCTTGAGATGGCTGCCACCTATGGGTCAGATGATTGCATTGCACCATTAAGCAATTGGTAATTAAATATAATATTTTTGTCCTAAAAAGTGTAACATTTCGGAAAATGATTTTCACGAACATTAATTGTCACGCACAACGAGTCTGTGTGCAAAATGTCAGCTCGATTGGATCACGGGAAGTGGGTTAAAAAACGACCGAAAGATTTGCACGGTCGTAAGCAAGCAAGCGAACTTAATATAAGGATTAAAAAAAATACTGTCATACATTGCACCTATGGATGTACGCAAAATTATATTTTGCCAATCGATAATTACGTATAATTTGAAATTAAAAACGAACAATGCACGTGGAACTAAAAAATTCAACTTCCCTATTGGGTGAAAAACATTTTCCATCATGGCTGGTGACACCAAACGCAAGTTAACATTTTGCTGTGAAAAAAAAATTAGGTTTGCACAACTTTTACAAGACCAGCGTTCATCATCAGGCCTACAGAAAGCCTTCACCAATTTCAACGATTCTCCCATGGCGGAGTGCGATTCCCTTCGCACTTTTTCCGACTTTATGGAGCAGCAAGCTAGCCGGCCACATCCACAAATGAAGCTTGCCTTTCGGTTGCCACGATGCATACGGGGGTCGGAGGGCTTACGTTGCTTGTTCCCCTGAAGGACGTGGACAGAGCAACAGTTGTCCGTCACGTGTTGGGGCTTCACGGCGATGGCGAAGGCGGAGCCTCCATTCCTTACATCGTTCAGGGCCTGGCCCAGGAGGTTCTGCGAGCTCAGCATGATGAGATCCACAGTGAGGCCCATATTCCGAGCTTGCTTTCCTATATTCTCTGCATAGTCCCTGCAACACCACAGAACCAATAAGTCAGGAATGGAGCAATAATAAGTATAACCCGTAAAAACAAAGTTTTTCACTATAAATCCTTTATATGCGTGGCAGCGAACTTAATATAAAGGATTTAAATATATATTCGCCTGTGGAGGACGCGGGGATCGATCCCGCGACCTTTGGCATGGGAAGCGAGGGCGCTACCAACTGCGCTACTCCGCCACGGCCTGTGGACAGGTTTACGCTCTGGGCTCGTATACTGTGACGTTCAACCAAAGCCAAGAATGAGTTATATTTGAATATATGTAAAATAAAAAAATTTTGCCTAAAAAGTGTAAAATTTTGGGAATTTTTTTTCACGAACATTAATTGTCTGGCACAACGAGTCTGTGTGGAAAATGTCAGCTCGATTGGATCACGGGAAGTGGGTTAAAAAACGACCGAAAGATTTGCACGGTCGTAAGCAAGCACGCAAGCAAGCAAGCAAGCATGCGAACTTAATATAAAGGATTTAAAAATTGTGTCACATACTTAAATGAGTACTTGGTAGCAGTCATCGTCATAGGCAGTTTCTGAGTCAGTCTCTCTTCCGAAGATCCACCACCGAATTCCCAAAAACTGATACTAATTTTACAGAACGCAGATGTCGTATGGGCTGAGTCTCTTTCTGACTGGGCTATCAGTTCGCAAACGCTTGATTGCAATGCGAGCAGACTTTACAAGATGCCCTCCCAGCTAAATAAGAAAAAAGTATAAGGAATTCATGACAATATAGATTTGAGGAGGCTCTAAGGGTTAACGTGTGTTTATATCAAATCACCAACAATGATATTACAGTGGGCCTGAATTCCAGACTCTCACCAAAAATGTACCTTCAATTATAGTAAGTTTTCCAATTTCAGCTGAGTTGATAATTAGAAGGAAGCATCCATTGTAAAAGTTTGATTTTGCAATTCTGCAAAATATTATTTCTACTGACAAGTGGTTGACCACGTCAGATACTCAAAGTTCCGTGAAAGAACTGGACTGAGATCAAGCCGGTAAGAGAATGGTGCACGGAGATGATAATTTTTGGTAATTCAAAATTCGCAATTTTTTTCAGTGTTGAAACTCCAGTCAAATAATTTTACTTAATTATTTTCCAGCAGGAATAGCCAATCCATTGCTATTTCATCATATATAAACGTTCAAAAGTATCAACTAATGACTTTGTGTAAAAGTCAAGCTTTTTTGTTTAAACTCAAAAGCGCTTGAAGCTTTCGTGAAATAGGAACGTGATTGTAAAATTTTACACGATAAAATATTAGGAGTTATACTTCGTTTACGTGTGTAATTCATTTTCAGTTACGGAATGTAAAATTCTACATTTCCGAATGACAATTCCTCCAGCCTAAAGTCTCCACCTAGTGTCAATACAGCATCACTGTAAGAATATCCTTTTCTCATTACATGGGAATTGTAGCCAAATATGACGTAATCACTTACTTAATGGCAGGGTAAATAAAATCTTGATTTAAAGCTTTTGTGACTGCAGGGATTGATATTCTTTTTAAATCCTTTATATTAAGTTCGCTTGCTTGCTTGCTTGCGTGCTTGCTTGCTTACGACCGTGCAAATCTTTCGGTCGTTGTTTAACCCACTTCCCGTGATCCAATCGAGCTGACATTTTGCACACAGACTCGTTGTGCGTGACAATTAATGTTCGTGAAATTTTTTCTCCAAAATTTTACACTGTTTAGAGAAAACTAATTAAATATTAATTACCAATTGCTTAATACTGGCAGACAATCATCTGACCCATAGGTGGCAGCCATCTCAAGCCAGAGGACGAGAGGACTCTAGCCGATGCCACGCATATAAGGATTTAGAGTGAAAAACGTTGTTTTTACGGGTTATACTTGTTTCCCTTCTACGTGACTTTACCGAAAGAACTAAGAGTATGTAAATAAAATCCTGCAGTCAATATGGAGCAGATGCCAGTGGCAGATCCACACGAAATGTCACCACTCACTTTTGCTGCCGTGAAGCCACAATGACAACACAGTCCACAGGTCTCTCACTGTCATACTGTTTAGAGATTTCATCATAAAACTTTAGGTAGAGCTCTTCACGCTTGATTTCATCTCCTGACCAAAATATAGTTGAAAGCATTCAGCGCAAGACAACTGCACATAGTTAGAATATTACAATTTTCCTCAAATTTCTAATGCTGTCTGAAGCAAGCTGCAATAATAATAAAAAAAAATCCTTCATCACATTTGACTACATATCTAATGCACCCTAAATGTTAAAACTGTAACATACTCGATAAATGTCATCTTAATAAGTGACAAGTTAGAACTGAAGAGTTTGGAGGGCAGAATTATAGATGGCACCAGCAAATAAAACATTAAAAACTGAACCTAAGTTAGTGTATGCACGAGAAAAAAGCTAAGCACATTACATAATGCGCGGTAGTCCCTTCATCTATATATATTTTTTGAAAACTTTTTGAATAGAATTTATATCTAGATCACACACATGAATAATAATCTGACAGACCTGATGAAGGCATGTCTCTGGCTGGTCGCTGGTCTTCATCATCGTATGATGGCCCTCTATAAAATAAAAAAAACACCATTACACCATTTCTCACAATCAAAAACATCGCTCAAAATACCAATCGTGCTCTGTAATGAATACTCCAGTTACCTGAAAGGCGGCTCGTTCTGGTCCTCTTCACCCCACAGCGAAGTGTTGGGTCCCTTTTTTCCATAGCCTCCCCTGCCGGACATGCCCCCCCGACCGGGCATTGCCCCCCCGACCGGGCATGTCCCCTCTTTCGTGCATGTCCCCTCTTTCCTGCATGTCCCCTCTTTCGTGCATGTCCCCTCTTTCGTGCATGTCCCCTCTTTCGTGCATGTCCCCTCTTTCGTGCATGTCCCCTCTTTCGTGCATGCCCCCTCTTTCGTGCATGCCCCCCTCTTTCTCGCATGCCCCCTCTTCCGTAATTATCCGTCTTTCGTGCATGCCTCGTCTATCAATCATACCTCCTCTGCCAGCCATGCCCTCCCTAGCGAACATGCTGCCTCTACCACCCATGCCCTCCCTATCGTGCATGCCGTCTCTTTCCCCCATGGCCCTCCCTATCGTGCATGCTGCCTCTTCCACCCATGCCCTCCCTATCGAACATGCTGCCTCTACCACCCATGCCCTCCCTATCGTGCATGCCGTCTCTATCCACCCATGCCCTTCCCTATCGTGCATGCCGTCTCTTCCACCCATGCCCTCCCTAGCGTGCAGGCTGCCCTCTTCCACCCATGCCCTCCCTATCGAACATGCTGCCTCTACCACCCATGCCCTCCCTATCGTGCATGCCGTCTCTATCACCCATAGCCCTTCCTATCTTGCATGCCGTCTCTTTTCCCACCCATGCCCTCCCTATCGTGCATGCCGTCTCTTCCACCCATGCCCTCCCTATCGTGCATGCCGCCTCTACCACCCATGCCCCCTCTGTCGTGCATGCCCCCCATGCCACCCCTATTGGGCATCCCCCCTCTGCAAGGCATTCCACCCCGGCCAGGCATGCTGCCCATCAGTGGTTTGCTGTTCATTATGTAATGGGGACCGCCATGGAACACAGGCCGCTCATTCCGCGAGGCCATCCTGTCCTGGATGGGAAAAGCCGTGGCACCCTCCTGTCATCCCTCTCCCGCGAGCTCCTCCGCTCACGCGACCCCTCCTTTGAACGCCTGCGGTCGTCACGGCGCTCCCGGCTGGCACGTTTTCTCTGCCACTCCTTGCTGATGAGTCGCGGTGGCCATCGCGAGACGAGGGTGGTGACCGGGACTTATCACGGGTCGAGCGGTGCCTCGAGTCTTGGCTCGATGACCGCTCAGGCGAACGCCTGAGGAGAAAGCTTCCATGCATTATCGTGCGTGCAGACGCCACCTGAAAATAGACTTGCAAACATTGGCCTAACTTTTGCGAAACACAGGTGCTGAGTTACTGGAATTAATACATAGCTGAGCATAAAGGCAAATTATTTATTTTAATGAGAAATAAGACATGCAAGGATAACTATAGAACCATTATATATTTTTAGGGACATTCTATAAAAAATTGCCATCTTTTTAAATCCTTTATATTAAGTTCGCTTGCTTGCTTGCTTACGACCGTGCAAACCTTTCGGTCGTTTTTTAACCCACTTCCCGTGATCCAATCGAGCTGACATTTTGCACACAGACTCGTTGTGCGTGACAATTAATGTTCGTGAAAATTTTTTTTCCAAAATTTTACACTGTTTAGGGAAAACAAATTAAATATTTAATTACCAATTGCTTAATGGTGCCATGCAATCATCTGACCCATAGGTGGCAGCCATCTCAAGCCAGAGGACGAGAGGACTCTAGCCGCCACGCATATAAAGGATTTAGAGTGAAAAACTTTGTTTTTACGGGTTTATTTTTTTAACGTTGCATGTTTTTGACATTGACTTAACTCAGGTGCTCAAAATGCATTTAACAATCAAACAATGGTCACTAGATATATCATTCAGCTTGCTATAAAAAAAAACAGCAAAAAAACAAATACTGACCTCTTTGAATCATCATTTCTGTAGAAATAACAATTATAACAATGTTAAATAATATAAAAACAATTAAACATGAATCTTACCATCAGCCAAGGGAGGTGTATTCACAACACTCAATAGTAAAAAAAATTAACCCGTAAAAACAAAGTTTTTCACTATAAATCCTTTATATGCGTGGCGGCTAGAGTCCTCTCGTCCTCTGGCTTGAAATGGCTGCCACCTATGGGTCAGATGATTGTCTGCCAGCATTAAGCAATTGGTAATTAAATATTACATTTTTTTCCCCTAAACAGTGTAAAGTTTAGGGAAAATGTTTTCACGAAAATTAATTGTCACACACAACGAGTCTGTGTGGAAAATGTCAGCTCGATTGGATCATGGGAAGTGGGTTAAAAAACGACCGAAAGATTTGCACGGTCCTAAGCAAGCAAGCGAACTTAATATAAAGGATTTAAATACCAAAGTGTGAATTCTCACTCTTAAAATGGTGTGAAATTGAGAATTTCCATTAAAACCTAATGGATATACACAAATGTCATCAAAACAAGTGGTGTATGAAGTGATAGATATATACTGAACTATAAACACACTTGATGCAAAAACTATTTAATGAGTGGTTTATACACAGCACTTCAAATTAAAATGGGCATTTTCAGTTAATCTTGAATGACTTTTCTAAGGCTATCCAAAAGGGTGTCCTTCTGAAATAATATACCCAGACAATTCCACTGCAGATTTTATGCATCCGTGTAAAAATGTCATTAAAGTCTGAAGTGTAATTATGTGCTCCATTAAGTAAACTGTATGTCAGAGGGGCAGAAAGGCCACTTGCGATTTGCCGACACGAATGAAGATGCTTTGTGACTAGAACACAATAACTGTCTTGCAACTACACATGCAAATTTCATGTGAAAATAGTTTAACATCGGCAATGCCAGAAAGCTGTTTTAAAGATTAAAACATTTTACAAAGGTGGCTAAACCACGGATTTTTGCTTGTGATTCAATGTTAACAAAATTTTGTTTAAATGTTGAACATTGTAAATAAGATTTGACTTAAAGCTTTCATGACTGCAGGGATTCATATTCTTGGTTCGTTCAGTAAAATCACGTAGAAGGGAAATAATAAAATAATATAAATATAAAACAATAAAAATTATCACAACGTTTCGACTGCAACACAAGCTATCATCAATAGTCAACGTGTTTGGGTTTAGATCGCCGCGTTATTTATAAATGTGTCGTAACCCTCCACCACCCGACACGGCCAATCGGTAAAAAAAGTGTCACGTTGACAAAAGACAAATAGTTCACTGCTTTAGCCCCCACACCGGTGTGTTGAAGCGTGAAACCACAACATTTACAAATTTGAGTAGTACGACGTTTCGCTGGTAATTGCATCCAGCATCATCGGGCAATTCGCCAGAATGGTCGCGAAAGCCTACGTGTTAAAATCATCATCATCAGGTGTGAAATCCACAGCTATTTATATTATTTTATTATTTCCCTTCTACGTGACTTTACCGAAAGAACCAAGAATATTGTAAATAAACTAGTGTATGCCAAATTCAGATTCTTTGGGTCTTTCGGTACAGTCACGTAGATAGGTTCAAAGTCACGTAGATAGGTTCAAATAAACTATCTACGTGACTTTACCAAAAGACCCAAAGAATATGAATTCCTGCAGTCACGAAAGCTCTAAGTCAAGACTCATGCCAAATTAAATTTCATATCTTTAGGAACCTGCATAAAAATATGACATTGGTTAATGGTTAGGCTCTTCTGTAGAATAATTATGTAACTTTCAGAGAAACCACTTACACATATATGAATAATATTCTTGACAGCAAGCAACAACAACAACAAAAATATTAGAACAAGTTTTTCAGTAAAAAAATGAATAACATCATTTAGTAAAATTTCCAAATCACTATAGAAAGTGTGACAAGCTCCAAAGTGAAATGTGTTTCCATTGTTTGACAATATGGTAGCTAAAATTGTTAGAATGGTTTTAGTTACATGAATGTATACTTGAGGACAACACAAAAAGGCTTTCATAATTAAAAGTGAATCTCGACAAGTTATGACAGGCAAACAAGTGGTTAATAAGTATAACCCGTAAAAACAACGTTTTTCACTATAATCCTTTATATGCGTGGCAGCGAACTTAATATAAAGGATTTAAAAATATATTCGCCTGTGGAGGACGTGGGGATCGATCCCGCGACCTTTGGCATGGGAAGCGAGGGCGCTACCAACTGCGCTACTCCGCCACGGCCTGTGGACGGGTTTACGCTCTGGGCTCGTATACTGTGACGTTCAGCCAAAGCGATGAATGAGTTCTATTTGAATATATGTTAAATATTTTTTTTTGCCTAAAAAGTGTAAAATTTTGGGAATTTTTTTCACGAACATTAATTGTCTGGCACAACGAGTCTGTGTGGAAAATGTCAGCTCGATTGGATCACGGGAAGTGGGTTAAAAAACGACCGAAAGATTTGCACGGTCGTAAGCAAGCAAGCACGCACGCAAGCACGCAAGCAAGCGAACTTAATATAAAGGATTTAAAAATGTCCAGATGGCATAGAAACTAAAATACTTTTCAACCCTTTAAAACACATGCGTGCACACTGTTTGTAGAAATGTTGGTGTTTGGGGCTGAGGACTGATTTCTTTTACCTTTTGTAACTTTTTTGTGGACTGACTTTAGGCATTGGTCTCTTTTCACTCTGAAACCACACAAATCTCTGCAATAAAATAGTGATGACAGATATTTAATAAGACTGCATGTCAACACAACAGGTAAAAACTGAAAAAAGCAAAGTCAAATGTGGTGCAGTGGTCATAAATCACAAATACTAAGCCTGTATGATTTAAGAATTTAATGTTATAACGTGGGATGAATGCTTGTCTTAATTGGCTTACCAATGATGTTGCATGCATAACAAATTCTAAATGTGTACTGTAATTTAACAAAATATATGCACTCGTTGGATTATAAATTATGGAACCTTCAGCGAAATCCATGTAATTTGGCATCAAAAATTGTCTTGAAATGAACCATCTGCACATAACCATACCCCGCCAGTGTTTGGTAATGCAGGGTGGACATTACTCATGAAATTATCAGAGGCACTAATGAATACTTTTTTTAAAATGTCCTGCAACGCATTATATACAAGAAGATACGGTGCAGTATAGCTTCTTTTTGCTAAATATATTTTAACCATGACAATCTCTCCAAGCTTTTGTGTCAGCTGAAAAGTGGAAACAGCAAAGTATAATGTCCATAGTGCACCACACTTTGTAAAAGCACTCAATATTGCTGCGCCATCTTGGCCGCGTCGTCGTCGTCAGCGTCTTTGAGGTGAAAATAAACAATTTCATTTCAATTTAAAAGCGCAGCCATCGCGTTGTCATTGTGCGAGGACGGTGTTGGGGGCCCCGGTTGACAATCGAGGTTGAGCAGAAAGCAAACTGCGCGGGCCAAATCGGAACGCCCCGAGGTGGCGAGCGCGGCCTTTGTGCGGACGTGGGGTTATGGCAGTAGTCACCATCACTACCATCATCATCATCACTACCATCATCACCATCACTACCATCATCATCACCACCATCACCATCACTACCATCATC